TTGCTTCTTTTGTACCTTGAAGCAACTGGATCAGGTATGGAAGTGCAAGGAGCTCTCCTCAGCTAAGTACTAGAGGTTGCTTTCTGTGTGGTTTTTGCTAACACATAATGTAGCCCAGGATTTCAGAGGGCTTTTGGGGCACTTGGGCCAAATTTGAAATGAATCTAGATATTCCTTTTTTTTCTTTTATTTGGAAAACTTCTGCAGACCGTAGGTGCTGCGTGTTTCCAATCTGCACCTGGTATTTGCTTTGAGTCTTTGGGTCTGCTGGAATCCAAAGCCAGGAAGGTTCATACAAAGTGTTGTGACCCAAAACTGTTTAATCTCAGATCTGCGGCCTCAGAGCCACAGCCTGACTTGAGTACCTGATGAGTATCAGCTGAGCAAGCATCACAGCATCTGACTTCTGCCCATGAACCATAAAGTTTTTCCTCAGGGAACAAGAAAGTAAATTGGCCTTTGTGCAGGAACAGCCAGCGAGGCCGGGTCCGTGGCTTCCTCGTGCTCAATACCAGACCCCACGGTGCTCTGCTGCAAAGTTCTCCTTCCTTCTAAGTGAAGCCATATGAAAAAAAAAAAAAATCTATTCTTGAGAATGGCTGAACCAACCAATTTGTTCAAGCCATTCTTCTGGTTGATTCATTTTTAACTGAAAAAAATGCTGATATATTGAAAACAACTTGAAAAATGCCGAAAGGGAAGAAGGGGAAACAAGTTAAACCATTTGAAGCTCATAAAATAAGGAAAAAAAGTATTTAAGTGCAACCACATGAGTGGTGTAAAATTGGTGTAATACTTAATCCCATGTTAGAGCACAATGTGTTAGATATGAGTTCCCCTAGAAAATAAGGCCCTAAAATAACCTAATATTTATGACTGAGATTTCACAACATGATCAACTCACTGCGTCGTGCTTGCAAGGGAAAAAACCCTCTGGTTTACAGATCCACTAAGATAGGTCTTTGTTTCACTTGGGCAAGGTTTTTACTTGAATGCTGTTCTCAACTACTTCTTTGGATCAACATAATAAAAAAAAATCCCTGAGAGCCTCAGCAGCACATGGCTTGAAGGAAGAGATGGACTCAGGTTTGTGGAACACCTCTGTGTACGTGTTCTCAGTGGAAAAGGATGATGTGTAGAAGAAATGGAAGGGAAGAGCAGAGCTGGTGCCACAAGTTCTTGGCTAAAATGTGCTTCACTGGCAGAACATTTAACAGAGCATTGGTATTCAGCGAGGTTTTGCTGGACTCCCTTTCTTGCAAACGCTTTAAACTCACTTTGTCCTTGACAAACATTGATTTTACCTTGTTCCCAGTAATTTGCCCAGGCAGAAATTTATCCATCCAGCTGAAGGGCTGGGAGGCAGCAGTACAGACTCCCAGTCATGGGAACATGGGTCAAGGACTAGATTTGGTTTAATTACAGGGGATAAAAAGACATTAAACACACATAGTGCCTGCCCTCCTTGGTGTTGATGGATTATGGTGTTCATTGAGCAGCCCAATTTACAATGGTAAATTAGTTCAAACAAAGGTTATTTACTGTACTGTGGACAAGTACGTGGGTTTGGCTTTTGACAATATTTTATGTGAATAATAAAGTGATGTTGATTTTTAATATTTCATTTACTTGCCCACAGTAGATGACATAAGTGGCTGCTACCCAGCAATTGTGAGTGTTTACTATGAACTTTTTACCTTGTTTCTGAGGAGCTATTCTTTAGATACATCCATCATCTCTTCCTCATAATATTTTCAAATAGCAATATATTTCACTCTCTTTCTTTGTCTTTGGGTTACTAAATCTATCATCTTACTGGGAAACTTATGGTATTGTCAGAAATTGCATATTATGCCCTGGATTAAGGCTGTTTAGCTTGAAAGTGACAAGTTGTTTAAAAATAGACTGTTATGCTTTGTATTCATTCTCCACTCCAAAACTCTCTTTATAACAATGTAAATAAAGGACTCCCAGAGCTGATACAGTGGGGCTGGCACAGTTAGAAGAAAAGACTCGGCCACTGCCCAATTTACTTTAGTGCAACATGAATCTTAATTATATGGAACAAACATCAGACTGTGAGGCCTTGGGAGATCATTAGGTAACAGTTTACAGGGAATATTTATCTTCAAGCAAACTCCCAGGCCTCCTTAATTTCTTTTGTCGTTTCTTAAAGGGGTTGAAAACAAGAGGTATAATATGGATTCACTTTATGCCTGGTTCATTAAGCAGTATCTAAAGTTGAGAGCCCAGAATAAACTAGAAATTGCTGCAATAATAATTCCCAGTTGTTCTGAGCATAGATATTATCACATGTGCAGAGTTTGGGGTTGCAGATGGCATTAGTGACTCCTTTGTGCTGCCCTCTCCTGTGGGAGCTGGGAGGGCTCTGTCCTACTCACCCATCTGCACCACAGAATTGAAACTTGCAACTCTTGGATTTGATATTTTTCCTTTTAATTCCCACCAATTTTCTTTTTTCTCTTCAGAAACATTTCCTAACCCAGCTACTGAATAGCAGCAGGATTCTAAATGTGGTTTCCAAAATGCTACTTTTTAAATTTTTTTTTTAACCAAATTGCTTTCAGATAAAAACAGCAAGTGGAACAGATGAGAATGGTTTTTAAATTTTTTCCTCCCCCAATTTTGGTTTATCTCACTTGCCACAAGCAATATCTCTAAAATATATTTGTAATTCCATGTGCTGCACCCACTTTACAGATTTCCTGGAAGACTGCAGGGAAAGAATTATAAGATCACAAAATGGTTTGGGTTGGAAGGGACCTTTAAAGGCCATCCAGTTCAATCCCCCTGCAATGAGCAGGAACATCTTCAGTTAGGTCAGGTCAGTCAAAGCTCCATCCAACCTGACTTGAATGTTTCCAGGGATGGGTTATCTACCATCTCTGGACAACCTGTGTTGGTGTAGGCAAAAGTCTTCAGTTAGGTCAGGTCAGTCAAAGCTCCATCCAACCTGACTTGAATGTTTCCAGGGATGGGGGATCCACCTTCTCTCTGGACAACCTTTGTTGGTGTAGGCAAAAGTAATTTTTTCCCATGTGGTGTCAGGTATTAAGAAATTTCTTAAACTTGAAAAAGAAACCCAACCAAGTATTAATGTCCCTTTTTATAGAGAATCTTTGGTTTCTTGCAGGTTTCTCACATTCTCAGTTGAATGGCTCCAACCCAAGCTTTATCTGGGAGCTCTGTGCATCCACCCTTTGATATCAGCTCTCCTTTAAGCTGCCTAAAAGCATCAATACCAACCCATTACTCACTTGCTTAGGTACTTGCCCTCCCTCTCCTACACCTCCATTAGGATTTTCTCCTCCCTAAGGAGCAGCCTGTGCTTTCCCAGCAGGAGGGAAAGCAGGATGGTCACTGAGTTTAGATCAAACAGATCCAGGGGGAGTCCTGGGCAAGGCAGGGAAGGATTGAGCAAGGCTGGTGTTTAAAGCACCCCCTGCACTCTGAGGGAGGCTGGAAGCTGCTGAGGCTCAGGCTCTGCAGGTCAGACCCCCAAAATTAGCCCAGAGGGTGCAGGTAGAGGGGCTTTAATTGCTCAGTCACCACTGATCTCCAAGGTTGGAAAAGGTTCTTCATCAGAGCTGTGGTTCCTCTCCAAAGCAGCTGGACTTGGGGGTGGAAGAAGTAAACCTTTCTCCTGGCTGTAATGTGCTTTCAAGGAGGCTGCAAATATGTTGGGGGATTTTTTTGTCTCCCCTGTAGAAACCTGTGAGCTAGTTGCTCAGAGAGTGGTGGAAGATGTTTCTACCAATCATTTGTGACTACCCAGGGCTCCTGTCTGCAGGTTGCCAATCCCACAGCGAGGGAGCAGGTGGGATTTGGGCTCCACTGGAGCCCCTGTGAGGGCAGGGATTCCTCTGGAGCTCTGTGGTGGGCTGGGGAGGGGGAGTGCTGGTCAGTGTATCCAAACTTCAAAGAGGAGAACTCCAGGCCTTTGCTGAAATTCTGGAGATGCAGTTGCACATTTGAGCACAGAAATGTTTATGCAACAGGGGAAACTCTGATAGGAGTACAGAAATATTTAATGGTCTTTGTTTATCATCCTTCTCCAGCAGAAAGGAGAGGGAGCAGTGTTGTTTCACAGATAAAAAGCGAGGTCTTGCTTTTTGTTAATGTTGCTGTCACTCAGCAAATACTCCACCAGAGCTGGCTGACCTGCTGCAGGAGGCTGCAAAAAGGAGCTTTTTCTTCCAGCCTGGTAGTGCACATGTTGTGGGAAAGGTGATGCTCCCAGGTGCCAGGCAAGGAATGCTGGCTGCAGCAGAGGGGCTGCAACCTAATGGCATGAAGGATGTGGTGTTGTGGCTTTGCCAGGGACAAGGATGCTCTGTGTGTGCTGGAGCAGTGTTTATCTCCGAGAGAGTTTAACTCTGTATCAGAGTTTATTGTCTGAGTGCTTTTTTTTCCTTAATTAAGGGTATTTTGTCACTTATGGCATTTTATTGATCCCTTAACCATTGCTGCCCAGTAGGGTAAGAATACAGCAAGCTTTATATCTGAAATTAAAAATATATGACAAGATTTAGGCTGTGTCAGCAGTTGCCCAGAACCAGCTCTGACTCAGATAATAATTAGTATCAAGAGGTTCATGATCATTGCTTTAATACTTTAAATATTGTGATTTGCAAACCTCTAACAGCCATTTGCAGCATGCAGGGGCTGCACAGCAATGCTGCTTGCTCAGCAAAGGATTTTTTCCAGAATTTTGGATCATGTTAGATCTGGGGTTCTCTACTATCTACAGTACTGATAACTTCAAAACCTGCTTCCCAGCTTGCCTTGGCTTTTTCACTGGAAATACATTGTGGGGGAAAAAAGGTGGTATTTAAGTTGTTTTGGTATTTGGGGAAGGGGGGAAGACATGAGATGGGTCCAAAGGAGAGGACGTGTGGCAGAGGCTCTCCTGGGCTTGCTGTCCTTGGGCCATCACTAACCCTGTGCTCTCTGCCTCCACAGGGCCCCCGGGGCGGCGAGGGAAGCCCGGCCGGCGTGGGGAACCCGGTAAGCATCACCTGCCCCGGGCACCTGGGGGTGTCATGGGGGTGTGGGAGCCTTTGGGTGATGGCACCTGCCCCCTGCAGCTGTGGAACAGGGGCTGCCCTCACCCCTCTGTGCTGGGTGTGAAGGGTTTTATTAAAAACTTCTAAAAACCAAACCAAAACTAAGTCCCAAAACCCTAAAAACCAAAAACAAATTTAAAAACCATTTAAAGGAAGAAAGCAGCCAATCAAAACAAAAAAACCAGTTCCACTCAAAGCACCCACAGCTGTTGCATCTTTTATCCATCCTTCCATTTCTCTGTGTAGCATTCAGCCTCATCGCTGCCCCAGCCAGCACTGAAGAGGGCCAGTGAAGGAGCATGGAAATAGGGAATTCCCAGCCACGCTGGATGGGAGGTGTGCACTGCCTTGGTCTCTGCGTGTGGCCATGTCCCTGTGCTGCCTGCCAGCCATGGGGTGGTGGTGTCTGCATTTGGGAGTCAGGGGTAACCAAACCTCAGCCAGCAGCCTTGGGCACTGAGCAGCAGTGAGCCCTCAGCCTGGCTGAAACCACAGAGCAGCCTTGCTGGGGGTTGCATTTGAGCTGGCTGTAATTCTGTGTCCCTGTCCCTTCAGTGCATCTGGTGAGGCCCGGGGCTGTGTCCCTGTCTCTGGAATGGAAAGGACTGCCCCTGTTTCAGCTGGGGAGAGGTGCTGTTTACATCCTGCTGCTGGAGAGGGGAGAGCTGCAGCTGGTGCTGCTCTTTCTCAGGAAAATAAACTGGGATGTGCCCAGAGAGCCAGGCAGATTTTGGGATTGCCTCACTGTGCCAGAAAGCAGCACATGAAATGGCATGTCCCAGCTCTTAGGTTCTTGGACACTGACAGAAAGAACAGGAGCCAGTGGATTTCATTTAGTGAGGAGAGTGAATTCTGTTCTCTGCTGCTCTTGCTATTGAAAATTCACAACTGGGATTTCAAAAAGGACAGCATAACTTTCTGATCACCAATATTTTAAACAATTTTTTAAACTCTGAGGAAGGGAAATTGAGTGGATATGTGCTGCACACCAGCAGCAGCACCTGAACTCATGGACTGATGGACAAGAAAGGCAGGCAGGCATTTCCCTTCACTTCCACTGCTGCTAATCCTGAGTGCATTAGGGGTTTTCTGAGATATTTTTGTTCCTGAAGCATCCAGGATTTACTCCTGGCCGAGGGGTAGGTGCTGAGGGGTGGTGGTGGATCCCAGCCAGCTTTGTTAATTTGTTTTATTTTCCCAGCAGCCGGGCTGCAGGAACAGCCACCAGACAGCTTTGATTATTTTCTTGGGTTTTTTTTAATGTCACCTAAGGGCTTTAAGGAGCACAGTGGAATACAGCATTCTACCAAGGGCAGCTGGAGAGGTCAGCCAATGGGTCTGATTTTATATGCAGGCATTTATGTAAACACTGTGCAAGATGTGTCTCTGGTCCCTACAAAAATCTGGGAGGTAACTCTGAGCTCACAAATGCCCTTAAATCTCTTCTCCCTGCTTCATGCAAAACTTTTGAAAAGCAGCAATTTCCCTCGTGCTGTGGCACATCTGCAAATGCACTTGAGCATCCCTATGATGAAGCAGAAAGCTGCCAGGGAATCAATGCAGAGCCAGCAAGAAAACAAGCATTGTAAAAGAAAAATAAATAAATAAAAAAGAAGAAATTTGTTATTGACGATAAAAAATTTCAAAACTTAGTAACAACTTTTTTAAAATGTCTGCAATTGTGGAGGAAAGTCCACTGCACACAGCCACACACTGGGGCTCAAAGGGGCTCCCCAGTGCAATCCAAGGAATGCAGTGCAGAGCCTGCACTGCCCCACTGCAGATACACAGGGAGAGGCATCCTGCTGTGTATTGCTTTTGGCTGAGCTGACTGATGTTTGTTTCTCCAGATAACTTGAATATATATTTCTATATCTGTTTGAGAACCTGACCACACATAAACTGGGCCCTTGTTCCTCCAGTACAGCTGATAAATGTGAATAAAACTTTGTTTGTGTAGCATGCTGGTGTCCATCCCCAGGGACCCTGCCTGGTTAGGGCTTCACAGCCTCCAGACAAAGGCTGTTGAAGAGCCAGAAGGCTCAGCCCTGCCAAGGGAAGTGTTTTTCTTTGGCCTTTGTTGAAATAGTCATGTTGAAAAACCTTTTCAGATTATATTGAAACTTTCAATGTATATCTTTAAGAAACAAGCAGAGAAACTGTTAAGAGACACTCCTGTCCCTTTTAATCACACTCTTTTGTTGATCTAAACCAAGACTGAATTTTGCTTTTTTCTTCTGCCATGATGGATTCAGATAAAATAAATTAATCCTACAGCTCTCTTTCTCTAAGCTAAGAATTCATCATCATGAAAACACATTGGGACAACTGCTCTCTTCCACAGATATGTGCCATACCATGAAAGATTAATTTTTAAACCATTTATGGCAAAAAAAAATTTAACCATTTAGACCATTTGGATGTGGGACAAGCCTGGCTGCACAGACTAAGGAAAAAAGCACTTGTTAAAGCAATGGGGTGAAGCCCCATTGTCCCCAGAACCTGCCCAGGGCAGGCAGTGGGTCCTGCTGGGGCCTGACCTCTGGGCTGATAGTTTATTTTGCTGTAGAGAAGCACAAAGGCAGCAAGTTTCACCCGGGAGCCCTGGAGGGCAGAGGGGGTGCTCTAAACCCCAGCCTCCTTTGGGCTTCACATCTCTGGTGGCAGCTCCAGCTCCCCGTGGTGGCACAATCGTCCCCCTGTCATCCCTTCCCTGACCTCAGACTCAAGGATCAAGTACCTGGGGAGTGCTTCGCCATCATCAGCCCAGCTGAACAAACCAGGCAGTAATTGAGTCAAATGGCTCCATCCAACCCATTTTATTTACTCTCTCTCCACCATCTGGCCCTTGGGAATCACTGCTGCAGCAGAGGAGCAGTCCCAGAGCTGAGCAGGACCACTGCAAAAGAGGCTACTTTTAAAAACCAACTTATCCCACTGTTGCTACCACAAGGCCGGAAATTCACACCTGCAGCTTCCCTGGGGATGTCACTTTGGCTGTTTGGTCTGGTCCAGCACGCCCTGAGCTCCATCCCACCCTGCCAGCACAGACACAAGGGTCCCAGCACCCTTATTCCTGCACATGATCCTCAACAGTTTCTTTTCCAGCTGGAAAAGCAAGCACAGCCTTGAAGAGTCATGTGCACCCACCCATGGAAGCGGTGTATAGAAAGAAAAACACATTTTAATGCAATTTAATGAGGGATTTTCAGCATTCTCTCACTGTGGGGTTGGAAGAAAGGTTTTGTAGCACTTGCTGTCGTGATTGACCCTGACAGCCAGCCTGCTCATCTCAGATGCAATTCCTTTTCCTTGCCAAAGGCAAAATCAGGTTTAATGTCATGTTAGCTTATTTTTCCAGTGTGATATGTCCCAGTGAGGACACAGTTCAACTGCTGGATGAGCGTTTGTGAAATAACACGGATTTTTCCAGAGACCTGGGAGGTTTTGCTTCCCCTCTTGCTGCCAGCTGGTGCTGTGTGAGCAGGATGGGGTAGGGATGCACAGCCCTCAGGGGCTTTGTGTTTATTGTTTTAAAGACTGAGCCATGCTGGGGTGTTCCTGAAGGATGGATGAACAGGATCCAGGATTTGGGAGCTTAGTTGAAGCATTGGTTCAAAGGCTTTGCACGACTGGATGGTGGGCAATGATGTTCCTGTCTCTTGGAATGTCATTCTGCTTTCTTCCCCTGGCTTGATGGTTGATCCAAACACTGATCTGAAGCTCAAAATCCTTCAAAATAAACCAGGAGACAATCCACATGATATGTTCAGCTTGGGAAGTCTCTGAGTAAGGCTCTGCTCTCCTCACATGAAGCAAGAGCTGCCCCAGGACACAAACACCCAAAGCTGATGCCTGGGGTGCTGTGCAGCACGGTTGCATCAGCTGTGCACAGCTACAGCCCACAGGGATCAACATTGGCTGCTTTGGCACAAAATTCCCTTTGCAGGTGGGCCAGAGAGGGCATTTTTTTGGATGAAGTGTTATCTCATTGGAAAATCCTGACTTGGCATAATTTCTGCCTCTGGCAGAAAAAGTTTTGTTTACAAAATGTTTTCATCTCAAAAGCAGTTTTTGGGGAAATGTGTTGAAATTTTGCTATGGGATAGAAGTCTTCTGCCCACCACCCATGATTTTTTTCTTTACATTACGCTGCAGGTGTTGCCTTAATTTGAACTTCTAACAAAGATTTAATTCAAAGGGGGTTTTTGTTTGTTTGGGTGGGCTTTTTTCTTGCACCTATGCTATTTGTGCAAATGTCCTGATTTGGAACAAGAAGGAATCTAAGGCATTTTTAAATGGAGAAAAACCAATGTGATTTCTATGCAGGGAAGGCTTATTTCTCTCCCAGCTCTATATATACTTAAAATCCCATATTTTACATATCAATATTTATGCTTTCAGACCCATTAGCCTTGTGATTGAATGGGCAAGTGTAAATACATGGTTGTTGTTATTCAGTAAGTACAGATGGGATGCTGAAAGGGGAGTAAATCACACAGCAAACTGTGTTTATTTGGGGATTTCTATTGCTACCCCTATTTCTCACTGTGAACTGCCTGTACAACCTCATACCCAAGGACTTCTTATGCTGAACTTCAGGAAAAATCTAATCTGGCTGTCAGTAATGTGCTGTCAGTAATGAGCCTCAGCTAGGAGAGCAGATTCCTGTGCCCCAGCCCCGAGGCACAGACAGGAGTCAGAGGTCAGCACACAGTGACAAACAGCTTTTCCCAGATTCTGTGGCTTCTTATGGCTGTAGCAGTTACCTGTGGTTGCCCATGGCTCAGTTACTCCCCTTTCAGCATCCCAAATTAATAGCTCTATGTGTATGTATATACATAATGCTTGTGTTTAAATACACATAGCCATGTATTAATGCAGATTTTTTTTTTACTATATTTTTTTTACATCTTCAGGAGGCCACAGATGCATGCTGGCTACCTTGGGGGTGGGTTATTTGTCCTTTAGAGTTGCAGCAAAGTCCCCTCTGACTCTTCCTGAGCTGTTGGAAATGTCTGGCTGGTTTTGTTTCCCCTGCCTGGCTCTCTCCTCTCATGGTGGGAGAGCTTGCATGATAAATGACTTGCAGATTTAACAGAAATATCATCTTATCCCAAAATTTCCAAGCTGAAAAAATACTTGGAAATAAATGACTGTGACCTGTCATTTCCCATATGTTTGTGTACTGCTGGGGATGATGCTGCTGTGACCTGCTCAGGCTTTGGATATACAAAATAACATTAATGCTGGTCAATCAGGAAATCTGGGTCATTAATTTTTAATGAGTTTTGATTTTCACCTCCCGCTAGCACAGCTGTGCATGTTCTTAAGGAATCTTTTTGTGTTTCCCAATATCTCCATGCTCTTGTATGCTTGAGCACAAGGTGCTCACTCCTGGTTACAGCAGCATCCTCCCTGTTCAGGTAAATCAATCACAGACCAAAATCTGTGCATTTGCAGGTTATTTTTGTCTTTCTTCTCTTCCTTTTGAAATCAGCCACCAAGTTAATTTGTCACGTACTTTTCAGTACACAAAGGCTGCTTCCAACTTTTATTTGTTGTAAGAAGAATTTCCAAGTTCTTTCATTCTTCCTTTCAGCCTCTCAAACTGATTATTGCCAGTCAAAATTATTAGCAGTAAATTCTAGCAAATTTCTTTGAAAAGAGCATAAATCTTGTGCAATGTGCCCACAATGATGAGATGGCTGGATGAGGGGCAGCCCCTGGGTACAGGATCAGCTTCTTCATTTATTGTTGAATTGCAAAAATATTTGACTTTTTTCCATAGGAAACAAGTGCCTTGTGGCTGGGCTGTTGAAAAACACATTCAGCAAACCAGAAAGTCATGTTGTTCTTATGAGGAGAAAAGATCAGTCCAATAGGTTTAACTTTATGCCTTAATGAAGATTTATTTAGCCTCAGTTGGCCAACAGCACAATGAAAGATTGGTGTAATTCCAATGATGGGGTTGGAGAATATCCAAAGGTGCATATACAGACCCCCTCATTTGATGATTCCTGAATTTGGGAGGAGGAAGCACTTTAAAAGAGCACTTGCCTGCACATGTTGGGAAGAAAAAAACAGTAGCTGAGAAAAGGAAAGTAGGCAACAAATTCCAAAGAGATTATAATTGGTACATTATTGAAATCCCATATTAAAATAATTTCCTGCCCACTTCTTTGAGACTTAAGTCTTGACTTTTCCACAAAAGGGCTCCTGTGGGTAGCCTGGTGTAAGCGAGTTAATAAATCAGGTTTATGATTCTCAGTTAATAAATTGGCATACAGCCACTGGCTTCTGTATTCAGAAGAAATTAAAGCAAGGAGAGCAAGTTAAGTCCCTGTGCTCCTGGCCTGGAGGTTGTCCCTGCCCCAGGCATAGCTGTGTGGCACTGACCCCCTCCAGGTGGGTCAGTGGATGGTTCTTGGTGCCCTGCCAGCCATTACTTGCTGCCACCCCTCATCCTTAGGCTTGTTTGGTTTTTATTTAATTCAAGTTAGCAATGGTTTTCATTTAAAAATTAATTTTAAAATCCTTGAGAAGGCATTGACTTGAAATATGCTTCTTGAATAATATTGTTGAATAACATAGATGAACAAAGTTTTTTTTTTTTAATTTTCTGCCCCCATTTTAAGCTTTCCCACTTTTTTTTTTTTCCTTTTCTAATTGTGTTTCTAGTTTCTGGTTTTGATCAGGCAAGAGTCAGAGCATGAAGAAATCCCAAACAGAGCTATAGGCTGCCTCATGGACAGGAGTTCAACTTGGATTGCTTTGGATTAGGGCTCAGTGCTCACCTCAGTGCAGCACCAGTTTGGGCAAGCAGTGGGAAAACTGCAGAAATTGGTGTGGCTGTGATGAACACCCTGCATATCTGGGGGACTTTGGGGAATGTTTCTTTTCTTACCTCTCAAAAAATCAGCCTCATCCTGTGCCCCTGGCCCCCAGACCTGACGTGGGTGTGATGGGCATTTCCCTGGAGCTGAGGCACACCAGCAGGGGTGGCACAGGGCTGGGGGCTGCGTGATGTGTTTGGAGGTCAGGGAGAGGTGGGCACATCCAGAAACATTTGGGGTCTGTGGAAGCAGCAGCACTGCCCTTGTCAGGTCCCCACCACCCTGCTCCTCTGGCTTTTGTGAGCTTATATCCTGCTCCTCCTGCATTACCCAAAGGATAAATAAGGTCCATGGTGAAAATATTTATTTTATTAATTTTAAATTAATTTTATTAATTTAAAAATTTGCACATTTTTCTGGCCAGGCCTGTCTCCTTCCTGCTGGCCACAGGCGGTGCCAAGGCCCTGATGCCCTGCACATGGGCCCTGCCCTGTGACGTGCCCAGGGTCTCGTGGGGGGAAAGGAAACAGAGTCATACTGTGAAAAAGATGGGAAAGGAGTGGTTTTACACCCCTGGTTTTACACCCCTGGTTTTACACTGCTGTGCCAGCAGCACGGGTGAGATGGGGCTGATGGAGGGTGTGGATGGTGCTGAGTGTATCTGCAAAGTCATCACGTGGGAATTGGACTGAAGAGTCCTAAATCATTCTGGTGTTGGTTCCTGCTTTGTGTTGCTTTGTCAGATTATACTTTTTCTTTGTAACTGACTCTTTTTTTCTTTGTTTTTCTTTTGTTTTCCAGGACCTGCAGTAAGTATCGTGGATTTTACTGTTGGATCAACAAAGTTAAGACTTCCCCTTCCCCTGCCTTTCAGTGTCCTTGCAAAAGCACTGCATTTTTTGGTAGAGGTGTGTCTGGAAACAAAATCAGTACCAGATGCTGCTGTATTTTTTTTTTTTTTTTGTGATTGTAGAGAAATTGTGGGGGGGGAATTTTAAAATATTTAACTTGCTGCCCCAAGGGACTTCCACTAATTTTAAACTCAAAAAATATTCAGTAAAAAGGAGTTTTTCCTTTAAAGAGTTCTTTAGTCTGCCTCTATTTAACAGAAAGAGTGCTGTACTAATATTTAACATGTTACTGGGTTTATTGGTTCTAAAGCTCTGTCTTGCTTTTCTTATCTATTGTGTTTCCAGCATTTAATATGGGTTTGGTTGCCTCACAAGGGGGCTAGAGGGAAAACCATAGCTTGCTTGCTTCTTTCTTTGAAGTCTTGGGTAGAATAATGAGCATTCCTACCAATGCAACCAGAAAATTTATGGGGAAATAGTTGTTTGAAGGGGTAATAGTTGAAAATGTGTCAACTCCTCCTTTCAAATGTTCAGACGTGCCTTTGGCTGTGCCACCACATCCAAATCTGTTGTTCTCCTGCTGGTTTTGGAGTGAGAATTTATGTTTTATTTGTGCCCTCCAAGCTGCTGAGGGTTGGTTTAAAAAATAAATTATAGGCATTAGGTGCTTCTGGTTTTCTACCTTTCCTCCCCCAGAGGAGGAGGAGGAGGAGGAGAGGTTCAGGCTGCACATTTCCTTGTCTGTCATTGCACTAGCAGGGGCATTTCTTCACGTTGTTCTCTTCCTATAGAGCCTCACTGGGTTGAAAAGGGCTTATTTTAGGGAAAATAAATTTAGCAGTTATTCCTGGGCTAGTAAATTTCCAGTTCTGTTTTGGTGACAAGGAGTGGGGGCTGTCCCAGCACCATGGCCTTGGTTCTCCTGGGACTGGCAGCACTGCCTGTGGGTTTAGTTAAGGCTTTTCAGCCCTTTAAATTTTTGCTTCTATTTCAAGTTCAATTTTTAACCTAAATACTTAAGGGGGGGTTGAGAAAAATGATAATTTGTGATTACAGATAAAGAGGATAGTGGGATACTGCCTATTTCAAACTCCCCATGTACACCTTTAGGGGACTGTTGACTGAAGCACTTTGGCTAGCTGGAAATGGGTTTGTGTGGCTGTCTGCTGGTGCTCAGGGGCTCCTCTCAGCCCCCACAGCCGGGTGTGGTGCTGCCTCACGTGTGCTCTCTGCTCACGTCCATTATGGCCATCCAACACAGGCAACATATGGTGCACTATTAATTTTTCTTTGTCTCTAGTTGGTTTCATTTCCTGGTTCCCACGGCACTATTGAATTGCAAACGGAGTACAGCGGAGATTTAACACAAACAAGACCTTTTTTTCCTTTCCTCTCCCCTTGCCCTTCTTTGAAAGACAACTCCTGGTTTAGTTAAGTTTTGGGTTGGGTGGGGTTGGTTGGTTGGTTGGTTTTGGTTTTTTTTAATCCTGCTCTTTAGCATAAATGGCCTTTGCCAGAGACTTCTTTAAGCATAATATTAAATAAGTCCTAGAACCCACAGAACCACAATATTATTCTATTTTAACAGTACTGCATTTATTAGTTTCTTCTGTTTCTTGATTTAGGCCAGAAGGAATTGATTACTTCTTACATGTACAGCATTACACTGCTCTAACTATATCCCCAATTCTGTTGTTCCCTAGTAGCAGTTGTTCTGGTATTTTATTCTTTTGGCTGTCATAAGTTAGTTATGCATATAAAATTATTAGAATTTGTGGTACAGGATTTGTGGCTGATGGATGATTGATTGTCCTGTCTGTGAGTAAGGGATATTCTGCTCAGATATGCTATAAAACCTCTGTTTTGGAGAGTATTAAAATCACATGCTGGGTAGGAAATTTCTACAATTGAAATATAGGCTCACAACAGACTGTAATTAAGCATTTACAGTCACAGATATTAGCAAACACATTATGTGCTAGTGTGCTGGCTGGGGAACTCACCAGCAAGCGAGGGCAGGGCGTTCCAAGTGTTTCCCATTTATCTGTGTGTGCTCCCCTGCCACACCTCTGCATAAACCCCCCTGTACACTTCATCCCAAGCTGTAACTGGTTAAACAGGCAATTGCTGAAGTCAGTGTTGCTTCTGGATGAGCCAGGAGTGCTGCAGGAGGCATTTCAGCTGCAGGGGTGCTCAGGAGCAGGGAGAACCCCATGAGTGGTGTGGAGGGGCTGCTGGAGCTGTGCCATGCCATGAGCCAAGCCTGACCTGGCTCTGCACCCACAGCACCACCTGAGTTTGTGCAGCAGATGACTTTGCTGCACCAGACACCCCTCGCTGCCTTTTTGTGTGCCAGTAATCCTCACCAGCTCCTTGCCAGGATCTGCCCTGGCTCTGGCTTGCAGCAGGCTCTGCTGTAGCTCACGGCATGGTTAGCAGCTCCTCGGGCTGTAAACACCTCTGGAACCCCCGAGGAGAGCAGGGATGGTGAAATACCCTGAATGGGCTGTGTTTTGTTCTGCTGATCCTGCAGCTGCTGCTAGGAACTTCTCTAGGGTCATTCCCCACAGCATCAGCTGGGCTCTCTGCTTCACTGCAAATAAAGCAAAGCTTGGATGTGAGCTGGAGAGCTCATCCTGCAAGGAAATTAATGGGTCTTAGAGGGGTAAACCTTCACTGAATCAAGTGCTGGAACAGGAGTTTGAAGCTCAGTGATTGCTGTCCTGTGTGCTGCCTCAGCCTCCAGGACCCCTCCCCAGCACTGGGGTGTTTTCTTTCCTCTTGGCACCCCCATCCCAGGGCAGATTTATGGCCAGGACCCAGCGTGTGCCACGTCTGTGGCTCCAGGGCCAGCAGGGGCTGGGCACAGGCAGCAGGGATGGGTGCAAGTTGGCAAAACCATGGTAAGTACCCCAAGGGGAGCAGGAGATCACAATCCAGGGAAATCCAGGGAAAATACACTGTAGGTGTGACCCCTCTGATAGGAAAGTTGCCCCAAGAGGTTTGTCCAGTTTAGTGGCAGGGCTGGCTGGAGAGCTGGTGGCCCTCCTGCTGCTGTGTGATGTCGAGCTGCTCCGGGTGCACTGACTGACTCATCTCCCTTGTTCCCCCCACAGGGGCAGTCAGGACGTGATGGTTACCCGGTAACTCCACTGCTCCTTTGATTTTTATTCTTTTCTAATCTGCTCTTTGTGGTCCTCTTCAGCATTTTCCATGACACTTGATTTCCCCTGCCTGTTTTAAGCCACTTTTTTAAACTTCTTCCCTCCTCTCTTTCTTCGTTAGCAATAGCTTTTGAGGGATTCAGCCCTAAAACTTAAAAGCCTGAGCAATAATCTCCCTTAATGTTTATTGGCATTAAATACTTGAGCCTTTTCATGGTTGTGTTCGTGCTCTTGTTTAAGAGTTCACTGGACTGCAAAGTGAGTGAAGGCTTTGGGGTTTGTCCCACTTAGAACTCTAAGAGGGGATACTGCTGAAAGAGCTTCAGGTGCTGAGGTAGATCCTCATTTGCCCATACCCAAAAATTTGTCTGTGGGTGCAGAGCTGTCCTGCTGGATGTGCAGGAGGAGGGAGTCCTTGTTCTGGCCAGATCCCAAACCTCAGCCTCCTGGCTGGCTCCCCTGTCCCTCATCCATGCCCTTGGGTGGCCACAATGCTCCAAGGGGCTCAGCAGCTGATCAGGGAGCCACTCCAAGCACAAATTTGGTGTAAGGGGTTGGTAAAAAACGCTGTAAATTCTCCTTGTATGTGGCATGGAGAGAGAGCTTCCATCTCTGCTCCTGTTTTTTGAATTGATGCAGTGAGCTCTGCACTGCCTGTTGCTGGAAGGGATGTATTGGCTTTTCTTAGCCTTCTCCTTCCTATGGTTGATGCCCTTTTTCTCCCCTTTTTTCCTTCTTTTTTTTTTCTTTTTTTCCTGAATGAGTGTGTTAGGAAAACCCCCTTCTTGTCTTTGCCACTACATGCCCTGGCCTGGTTCCCCTCGAGTGCCCAGAAACCACAGAAACATCTAGAGTTTTATGTGTGCCAGGGAGCTCAAGAGAGGAGGATTGGAAGGGAATTCCAGGGCTCTTTGCAGTTTTCACTTGCCCTGGACCCCTGTGATCCTCCCTGGGGAGGAGAGCAGCCTTTCCCCAGAAATGGAGAGGTGGGAGATGGGGTTAATTTTGCAGAGCCAGCCTGTGCTGCCCTTGCTCCGGACTGCACCAAGTGATGGATGGGGTTTGCTGGGAGGGGAGGCTGTGGCCAGCAGGGCTCCGTGTCCAGGGAAGGGGTTTGTAAGGGGTTTGTCTCCCTCAGGTGGCACCTGCCCGCAGCAGCCCTGGCGATGCTGGAGCCAGGAGGTTGTACAGATGCCTCAGGGATCTGTTGGAAATTAAGAGTTTAATTTATTAGAAGTTAAGATGTGAAATTTAACTCTAATGGGCTGCTGATTGTTATTTTTAGGGTGGCTTTTTGCCCTTGTGGGGTGTGGCAAACCCTGCTGGATTAGCAGTGCCCTTGGCAGGTTTGTCCCTTCTCCTGTCTCAGTCATGGGGTTTAGTGGCAGAACTCTGAAACCAGAAACTCTGGGAGGAAATAGGTGCTGTTCCCTAGCAGAGAGCACCACCACTACCCCTTGGGCAGCTTGGCACCTTGCCTGTCCCAGCTCCTGGAGAGGGATTTTGGTGATGCTCCAGCACTTCTGGATGGTGTCAGGGACTGGGAATGACCTCAACTCTGCTGCCACACCTGCACTGGGAAAATGGCATTCACATCACCACAAGGTTTTTCCTCCTCTCTCTTACCCCCAGGACCTGCAGTCCTGCTCCAGGCTGGTCTTATCCTGGCTTTGAAACCAGCAAACACCACAGCCACTACATTGGTATTGTTGTGGCTGCACTAATTTGCAGTCCTGCTCCAGGCTGGTCTTATCCTGGCTTTGAAACCAGCAAACACTGGATTACTACATTAGC